CTCGATCCAGTTTCCTGGCTGTCCTGATGATGCCGGAGTACGGCTCAATGAAGAAGTCTCCGTCTCCATCATCACCGCTCTGGAAGGTGTAGCTGACTCTGCCATTGGCCCCTGAGTCTCGGTCGGAGGCAGAGATCTGCAGGACGCTGGTGTACACTGGAGCGTCTTCGAACACAGAGCCCTGGTAGAGGTTTCTTTGGAACTGTGGACTGTTATCATTAGCGTCCAACACAATGATCTCAACATACGTGGTGTCTGATTTCTGAGGGTCGCCATGGTCGTGGGCGATGATGGCGAGGGTGTAGGAGGCCTGGTCCTCATAGTCAATATCGGTCTGTGTGGTGATGGCGCCTGTGCTTGGGTGGATTTTGAACTGGGGAACGTTATCCTCCATGATGTAAGTGATGCGAGCGTTCTCCCCTGTGTCTTCATCCGTGGCACTGATGACGACCACGATGGAGCCCACGGGCTGGTCCTCGCTCAGCATCACCTGGTAGTTGGTGCTCTGGAACACTGGCCGGTGGGTGTTGGCGTCAGTGACATTGACATAAACCTGCACTGTGTCCTGGTGTATGCCGTCCGACGCCGTCACCATCAGGACATACTGCCGCTCCTGCTTGTAGTCAAGCGGCAACGCCAAGGTGATCAAACCGCCAGCGCTCTGGCTGGTGATGGAAAACCTGTTTCTAGTGTTTCCACTGGAGATCTGGTAGCTCACAACGCTGTTGGTGTCACGGTCAGTGGCGGAAAGCAGCAGCACACTGGTTCCCACCGCAGCGTCCTCACTGATCTTTATGTTGTACAGCGTCTGAGTGAACGTGGGAACATTATCATTCACATCAAGGATGGTCATGCTGACGGAGGCAGAGGATGACATCGCAGGAACTCCGTGATCTACCGTTTCCACCCCGAACGTGTAAAACTCAGTTGTCTCCCTGTCAAGCTCTGAGTTGACTGTCACCCACCCGGTATTGTTGTTGATGATGAAGGGGAAACCCGGCGCTGTGTCTGTCAGCTGATACGCCAGGTGAGAGTTGATACCAGAGTCAGCGTCAATGGCCTGGATGTGGATTATAGAGTGACCCACAGCCACGCTCTCTAGGACGGTGGCCTGGAGCGGTGTGCTGACGAACATAGGTGCATTGTCGTTCACATCCACCACCTGGATGACCACAAGCCCGGTGCTGTTGATGAGCGGAGGGCGGCCCGTGTCTTGAGCTTTTACCCGCAGTTTGTACTCCCTGACGGTCTCATAGTCCAGAGGACTGACGAGGTCGATGACACCGGTCAGAGAGTGTATGTAGAACTGGCCCCTGACGTTGCCGCTGATGATGCTGTAGTGGACTTTGCTGTTGTCGCCCTCATCCTTGTCTGTGGCTTCCACCTGAGTCACTCTGGTGTTCACCGCCATGCTTTCCAACACCTGGACCACGTAACGTCTCTGGCTGAACTGTGGGTAGTTGTCATTCTCGTCCTCCACGCTGATGAACACGGTGGCTGATGAGCTGCGGGGTCCTGGATTTCTGCCCTGGTCGCTGGCCTCCACCATTAGCTGGTACTGAGACACATGTTCCCTGTCCGGCCGCTCCGTGATGCGGACCAGCCCGGTCCTGGGGTTGATCTCAAAGGCGTCCTCTTCGCTGACAATCCTGTAGATCATATTGGCGTTGGACGGAGCGTCTCCATCTGTCGCCCTGATCGTGAGCACCTCAAACCCCGCCTCCACGTTCTCCCTGAGGCTGACCCTGTACTCTGTCTGCTCAAACACCGGCCCGTGGTCATTGGTGTCGCTGACCATGATGGTGAGGTACGCAATGGATGACCTCTTTGGCTCGCCATTGTCTGTGGCGACAACCCTGAAAATGTGCGTGTCCTTGAACTCCCTGTCCAGCAGCTGCAGGGTGGAGATGCTGCCAGTGTGCGGGTTGATCTGGAAGTAGTCATTGGACCGGCTATCGAACAGAGCCTCGATGTCATAGTCCACCTCGCCGGCGGCTCCAAGATCTCCGTCCAGAGCTTTTAGTGTGATGACTCGGGTCCCTGCCGGCTCATTTTCAGGTATGGACACTTGGTAGTTGGGCAGCTGGAACTGAGGAGCTGAGTTCACGGCTGCACGTCTGCTACGCTCAGAGTACACCTGAGTGACGTCAGAAGCTGGAGAGGCAGGGCGGAGCTTTAGGAGCACGGGGGTGGAGGTGTGGGGACCGTGTACGTCCAGCAGCGCGCACACAGCATCCAGCTCAGACCCCAAACATTCAGCACTCACATCACCGGAGAAACTTTTCTTATGTCCTTTAACTGCGCAGGAAATCTGAAAATGTTTGTGTCTGCGCAGGAAGTGCGGCAGGTGATGCTGAACTTTGCTCCGCAGGTCGTGTGTGGAGAGACATAGGGGCACCGGGGAGGACCGGAGCCTCATGTGAACACTCACCGACTGTCCACCGCGTCGGATCACAGCGCCCCGGCTGTGGAGGATCAGCTTGAGGCGGATCAGGATGGACTCATGTGGGTCAGTCTGGGATCTCAGCTGAACATAAAGCGGAGCGGTGTCTCCTCTCCGGGACGCGCGGTCCGGTTCTCCAGAGAGAGAAATGACCCCGGTTCGTCTGTGGATGTGGATGAAGCGGCGCACAGAAACGGGCGTTAAATTCCGGTCAATGTGATAGATCCAACCAGGTCCCACCGAGGCGTTGAGCAGAATGGACCCGGTGCCGGTCTCACTGGAGCCGGGCTTCAGTGCGTCAGAGAGCCGAAGGTCCGGCGGTCCGAGCAGCAGAGGAAGAAACAAATAGTAGAAACAATAAAAACAGGCAGAGTTCACAGAGAAATCCATGACCGAGTCACTTAACTCTCCTCCTCCTCCTCTCCATGGTTCACTCACACTGATTCAAACTTTCATCCTCCCACCAGCTGCTGCTCACCAGGGCCGAGACCAGCCAATCAGAGGCCCGGGGCCCCGCCTAGGGCCACTGAGGGGGGTTATCATGGCCTAATGATTATTCTAGCCTAGTTTATTTATTTTGCACAATTAAAACACAAATTTTTCACAAATTGTTAAGAACTCGAAGAACAGAAAGATCAGGACCAATACATTATAAAAAACAAGTGATAACAAACTACTAATAACAACAACAAAAAAAAAACAGCACATAATGGTATCCATTTAAGAGCAGAAAATGTGAGAATGTGAACAGCGCCCTTTGGCATATCTTTCTTTTCATGCCTCCCCCTCTTGGCAATTTAATGCCCTGAAATCGTAGAGGAGATGGTCATTGAAATGACAGGGAGCAGGATGGTTTGCATCACTTCATCTGATGGAGCTCTTGTGCTCACTTCTCTTGTGTATGCATGGGGTTGAATGAAATCGCTGCATTTTTGCCACTGAAATGCATGATGTCATACACTGCCACCCACTGGCCAAATGTTGTCAGTGCAACACAAATCTCTCAAAACCAATGCAAATAGTGTTGCGCCCCTCTAGAATACCTTGCCAATCCTTCTGTAATAGGAGACCCTGACAGGTAAATAAAATCTGGAAAAATCAAGTAACATCTAAGGAGTAGTACAGATGTTAAATTTTCCAAATATTGATTATATGTTGTGAGGAAATTACAATTGATCATCTGTCCACTAAGCTGGACATCATGCATCACTGGCTATATTTCAACTACTAATATTACTGCAACTTTATTGTTCTTGAAAATACTAAATATGCAGTGACTTTTTTTGGCCATAAATCAATTGATTTATGTTATTAGAAGGTAATGTACAACTTTTGTTACAGAAACAATATTTTTGCAGAAAATGTCAATTGTAAAAATTCTATTATAATAATAATAGTAATAATAATGCATCATATTTATAGTCGCCTTTCAGGACATTCAAGGACACCTTGCGAGACAGTTAAAAAAAATCAAGCAGCAATGGATCCGTAGATCATAAAATCAAACAATTCTGTAATATACAATGAAAGTTAATCAAATGACTAGACAAAATCGTAATTATAAATATCTTGACTAGAGTCGTAAAATAAAGATCAGACAACATTAAATGTTTTGAGCTCCATTTATTGAGTTTGTGTAATGTATGAAGTTATATATAAAGAGAAACAGCATCGATATACCAACACTGTGGCTACAACAAGATACAGTAAAAAAGATCAAATAAAAAAGTATAAAAGAAGTGCTCAGTTGTTCATCTCTTACATGGGGACACAGGGTTTCTGCATGATACGCTGACAGTAGTGCAAGGGTATCTGGTTAAATGACGTGTTAAACATTGTCAGAGCATGACGTTAATAACCTATAATCAATCAATTGATCAGCTAGAGACAATTAATGTTGTGGTTAATGCATGTTCAGCAGCTGGTGGCCTCACTGGGAGCTACTTTAATAAGAAATGAACCACTCAGGTGTTTAATCCAGGTATATATCATATATCAGTGTTGTAGGCCTAAAGAAGCCTCTATACCAAATAAAAAAATGTCTTAACTTTTCAACAACTAAAATGTGTGTAACACATCGACTGCCCGGCACCTATTCCTTGGAATTTCGCCGAACCTTGATAGCAGTGGTGAGTCTCGAGTCTTCGTAGCTGCTTAGCTATGGATGCCAAATCCAAAAAAGTAAGTCTTGGAATAAAATAGAGAGTTTAGTATCACATGGACAGATAGGTTTGCTTTCACTATCAGCTCTGCAAAGTTAAAGCACCAAATGATCATAATAATCATTGCCCTGTGCAGTTCCACCACCTTGTTGTAAAACATGAATAAATGCTCATTTACACTATCAGTACAGGCTAATTTAGACTTAATAGGCTGTTTCCCCTTCATTAAAAGTCTCTTTTGGTAGCAAAGAGCCCCATTTCCACTGAGAAGTACAGTACGGTTCAGTTCAGTTGCTTTTTTTCTGTTTCCACTGTGAAAAGTTGTGGATGGTACCAATGGAACAGTTCTGTACCGTCCCCATGTTTGGTCCCCCCTCTGTTGGGGTACCTAGCACACAGATCTGGTACTAAAAGGTGGAGCTGTGAACACTGCAGTCTGATTGGTCAGTAGAGGACGGTCACTCTGCTCAGGGCTGAGTTGTGGCTGGTTTTGAGGTTCATGTAACCACTGTTCATACTGCGGAGAGTTTTATTGGTAAACTGCAGGGCTGTCAACTTTTCAAAAAACCTTGGAGTGAGATTCAGCGGGGTCGACCACAATTTTGTCGTTTAGACCGACACATAAAATTTTTGTTTGTCAACTAATTTGGTAGATGTGATCCTGATCCCCCGCATCCTAACGGATTTCTGGGGCGCCTGCTGGAGATGGATAGGGCCTAATACCTTACATACAAATACCATACAGAGAGAGATAATGGTGGTATAGTGGGGGTCTGGCTGTCCTCCCCCAGAAAATTTTGGATGTGTTAGATGTGATTTCCTGCATTCTGGAGACGGGCAATACCTACATTCATTCAAAGCCTGGCGTGCAGCCTCGTTCTGTGGACAATAAACGAGGTGCAGACTTCCCTCTGTGTCACCGGTGATGAGGAAATACAGTGAGTGCTGGACAGAGCAGTGAGTGACAACAACCACATTTAAGAGTACTGTTTGTGGTGGAAACACTGGGGTCTAGGTACCATGTCTGAAGGGTTACTGTTGGTTCCAAAGGTACCATACCCAAAGTGTTTGGTGGAAATGAGGCTAAGGTTGCCGATACCTGTGCTAACATTTTATTTTTAACATTAATTTCCTTTTTTAATGCTTATATTATTGAATTACTGTTAGTTTTCTTCCCGCCAACATCACTTTTAAAAGAAATGCGTGTTTTTTTAATGCTTATATTACTTTAATAATGATGTTAGTTTGATATGCTGATGTTAAAATTAATGCTACTGTTCCTTTTTCTTGTGCAGTTAGTTTATAATAAAAAAATCTTAAAAGTTTTAATTCCTCCAGAGTACCGTCATAATATATTCTGAATAAATTCATAATATCTCCATAATAAGGTTGTAATATTTTCAGAATAAAATCTTATTTCCAGAGCAAAGTTGTAATATTTCCAGTATGAAGGGGAAATATTTTCAGAATGGCAGTTCAGCAGTTAAGATGACTTTTTCAAACATCAGGAGGAGGCCAATCCCTGACACTGGAAAAAGTATAAATGCATTTTTTTAAGAAACATCTGTAATCTTTCCTCCCTCCACAGTGTAATTATGTGAGTAAGCAGTGTGGAAACATAAAGTCAGAAAACAAAGAATGTGGGATCAACAGAGATGCCGATCAGTGTCAGAATTTTTTTCTGATATCACCTGGTCCTGGACCAAGCGTCTACAATCATACATTTTTGAGATATATTAATAATAAATGTTGTGTACATGTTATAGTAACCTGGATTAGTAGTTGATTGTAAAGTTTAATATCATCTGGGATGTCTCATCACAGACTGAGCTCTGTTAGGACACACAGGAAGTGACGACGCAGTAATAAAAAGTTTTCTTAGAGACAGAAGTAGAGCACAGAACGAAGCTGTCCGCAGCAAACTTCAACTCCAGTTGTGTTGTCTCTGACCTAAGAGCTCGGTCCACAGGTGCGGTCCAGACTGATGATAGACTCCCTCAGGTTCTCATCTGGCAGGAAGTCAGAGCAGCGTGGGGGAGAGACTTACTGTAAGGCTCCACCTGAAACACCACCACCCCCGTTCACAGACGCCACTGCCGGCTCCTCTGCACCTCTGTGCTGCATAATGTGTTTCCTGTACGCTCTCTGGATCACTGCTGCCGCCACGTCTTCCTGTTTCCTCTGCAGGGTGCTGCTGATTGGTTCATGTGACACCTGGAGGTAATGATAATCAATAACTGTATGTTAGGGGCGGTGCAGGTTTGGCGTCAGAAGGTGGGGGGACACGATAATGATGTTTCTTCCTGTGTTTATTTTGAAAACTATGGCAACGTTTTTTTGTCAGTTACCTTTTTTCCATGACAAAAATGAGACGATGACGTGTTAAAAATAGATCTTGATATTAAAAACCAAGACGAATTCTATGCTTCTCTTTCTCTGACTAGACAAGACAGAGATGTTCATGGTGGACTATCGGACATTGAAAGCTGAGAACAGCCGTGCTTACAATTATCTTCAAATGCAGCATGAGCAACAGGCTGGTGAACTCCAGTAAATAGTCTGCACCAGGATGTTTCTCTAGCAAAAACATTCACACTGGAGCAGTGTCAGCTGTGAGCTGTAATTCAACAGCAAATAGTCAGCTGTGTGTGTCTGACTGTTGATGGTGGAGTTGCTGAATGGATTTGTGGAGTTTGTTAGTTGCAGCGCTGGCTGTTAGCAGCTAGCTCCGCATGTTAGCTGATGAATGGCAGCGGAGCAAGCAGCCACCGACCGCCGGACTTTGTGACCCCACAGGACTCCACTCAGTCCTCACTGTTTGGGGAAGGTTTATGGATTGATGGTGTTTGACAGGCAGGTAGGAGGCTCAGTTATCTGTGCTGTAAGTTAACAGTCTGAACTCAGATCAGCTTTCTCTGACAGAGATGAAAGTTTAGTTTTAATCACCAACTCTGTGAAAGGACACGAGTTTAAACCTCCAGACTAACATGTTGCATATGAAGAAAGAATTCAGGCTTCACTTAAGTTATTTTACTGCCTCTTAACAGTGAGATCAATAAGTCTGAGTTTACAGTGAACCTGGGGACAAATATTTGTCTCAGATTAGATATCTGTGGTGTCAAAGTTTTTGAAAACCTAAATAAAGAGATGTTGAGCTTTTCAAAGGACGATCAGCAAGTGTGTGCTGGTAAATCAACATTTAAACGTGTCAAACTCTGCCAGAGAAATGACAGTTTGTAAGTGTTCAGAAATTATTAGTAGTTGTAGAAAAATTTGTCTAAATGAAATTATTATACACCTTGATTCTAATTTCTGATCAACTAAACTGGATAAGTTTGAAGATAAAAAACATAATGACTAAAATGTCGTGAATTTTCATCAACTAAAACTATGAAGGATAAATGACAAAAACGTGACTAGAACAAATAAACATTTTTGCAAAATAGCAGTCAGAATTAACACTGTTCTTCTCGAACGTTTTTCCAGATAAAGTCATGCCTGGAAGTCTTTGTCTCCCCTGAAATTGTCTCCCATAAACTTCAGACTTGACACCTGATTTTCTGCCTAACAGACAAAATTCAGTGCTGCAGGGACTGATACTGATTTTTGTGATCATACAGAAAATAAACATAAAACTGTCCTGACTGTGACGACAGATCTAAACTCATTATCATAATTCTTGACTGAGCACATTACAACACCCTCTACATGCACAAGTAGGATGTGAGGGGCCAAACTCTGGGGTTCAGTTAAGATATCTGCTAACAGCTACAGGATAGAACACAATTCAAATGGATAGAATAGAATAGAATAGAATAGAATAGAATAGAATAGAATAGAATAGTGTAAAACCTTGGATGGGTTGTCTACGAACTTTTCCTCAATTCTGGCTTTCAGAGTGTCCGCCTGTTCAGAGCAACCAAACACCTGCACGCATACAGAATAATAATAACATTAATAACAACAACAACAGTAATAATAATAATAATAATAATACTAATGATGATTTATCAGGTGATGTTACCTGCGTGGAGAGTGCGAAAAGGACGTCCACACAGTGGATTTTGTCTCCAGGCATAAGAGGCAGATCCATGTGGATTAGTTTAATGGAGTTTGGTTTTGGAATCCTCAGAGGATCCTTCAGAGCGTCGCAGAAATCTGACAGCTTACTGTGGAACACAGAACAGATCTGTACTCATTAATATGACTCTACTGTACAATCCAATAGAACCCAACAGACCCTTTTACTGTTAGTAAACAACAGTATGATGTTTTTTGGTGGGCGGGGCTTAGCTGGAGGCAAACAGATTGCTCCTTTTCTGAGAATTTGGCTTTCCCCTGCCTGGCTTAACGCTGCTGCCTATGGCCATGTGTGAACCTGTCCTAAAACCACCCTAAACGTTCGTTTTCAAAGCCATGAAACTCACCGAGTGGTCAGTGGTGTTTGTTGATGTTCTGACATAAAAATCTTAGCAAACTGTGGTTTCCATCTGTGTTTTCGCTTTTCATCTGGATTGTGGAACTGTTTTTTCAGCTGCCTCACACCCGTTTGTAAACTTCCGCTTGATTGTTTGTTTGACCCTGAATCGTTACACACTCCAGCCCACTTGATGGCGATAATGCTCCTTTACGTGCTTGTCGCCAACCAGCATGAAACTTTTGCAATGTAATGGCACACAGAAAAGTAGCAGAAGAAGAAGGTTGGCGTTGTGTTCAAAGGCATCGTACTGCGAAGGTTGTTTACAAGCGAGTAATCCATTGTGCAGGTGTTTAAACTTATTACAAAACTTCGTTCTTCCTCCAGGAGCGCACACAGCACTGTCGAACCGGCACTTTTGCTGAGCTAAAGACTACAATGACTACAACCTTGTCGTAAACACCCCCTTTCTGTTTCCAGTGGCGGATTAGGACAATGAGGCTTCTATAGAAAACCAATGGATTAGACAAAATGTCAAACACATCATCACGGAAACCACAGTTTGCTACGATTTTTATATCAGAACATCAACAAACACCACTGACCACTCGGTGAGTTTCATGGCTTTGAAAACGAACTTTTAGGGTGGTTTAGGACAGGTTCACACATGGCCATAGGCAGCAGTGTTAAGTCAGGCAGGGGAAAGACAAATTCTCAGAAAAGGAGCCATCGTCACAATTTTGGTCTTAGCCACTCTATTTCATCATGAACAACTCAGAGATGGGGCTCATAGTGCAAAATACCGGACTTCTCCTTTAACTGTTGGTTAATTCATATGTAGAAATTTCAGTACATATCATTTAAATAAAATGTATTATTATTATTATTAATATTATGATTATTAAATATAACGCTGTGTTTCTTCGACCAATAGAGATCTCATTGTAGTGTGGCGCGTCAGACTGAATTCATGAACGCACCGTGTCAGGTCACTCACTCTCCGAGACCGTGAGTATTACTTATACAAGTAAACACTGACCAATGGGACCAGACTGGCTGACCCGTATGCTCTTGTCACAGGACACTTTGCCAGTCTCAAAGACTGATGATAGTCTTTGTTCAAGTGTCGGACACTTGAACAGTTTCCTCCAGTTTGTTTTGCTATTGAAGCTAACGTAAGCTAATGCGCTAAAAATTTAGCGTTGCGGAGAAATCCAATATTCCTCTTAATCCCTCCCCAGTTTCTGATGAGGTGGACATGATAACCCTTAATACACATCACATGGTTATTCATCCCTACAAAAGGAAATACTTTTTCCATAACCTGATATTAAGTGTGTGCTGCACATGTGAGCATGTTTTGACGATGG